AATAGGAACTTTTATAGTGCTGAAAGCATTTGCCAGAAAAAAAAAATCTCTGGGTTTCCCTAGAGACAGAAAAATGGATGCAACCTTTGAATGGAAGAGTTTTGCTTTCTGTTTGTTATTCTTTCACTTGCATCACTGGCCTTGAGAACTCTACCTACTTCCTTGGTTGGCATGTTCTGACTGAGAAGATGAGACAATCTTTCTCCCTAGTTTTCCTATGCATTTTAAACTAGCCTCAGCCACTATAAAGCTCACTCTACCCTTCAGAATATGTTCTCCTTGCCTTGGTTGTGTGGTCTTCTCATTCTTTTGAGCAGCTTTTAAATATTTTCAGCTTTTTGGACAGCTCCCTGCATAAATACACACATTTATGGAGATAGCACTACTGTACCTTTGTTATTGGGTGCTTTTCTCTTGTGTAGACAGGGTGGCTTTTCTGAGAAAGTGTGGTTGAAACAGGGTCAGCAGTGGAGCGAGGTGGACCAAGGTCCCAGTCCTGCACTGTCCTTTGTTGTCTCTGTGACCTCTACGCAGTTACTTGGCTTCCTCCCTTCCTGACAATAGGGATGGTGATGATGCCCTCTCATGGGTGTGTTGTGAACATGAAAAAAAATCATGTGTATAAAGCACATGAACATAGTAGGCACATGGCAAATGTTACCACATGCTTAATTCACCTGCATGCCCTCTCAACTGTTCATAGAGTCTTGAGCCATAAAATCATGTGAGCAAAATGTTTCAGGTGAGAGCCCGCGCCCTGTTATGACCAGGCTTCCTTTCCTGCATATCAGACATTCTAAGATGGCAGGTTTGCTTCTCCTCAAGATGTCCAGCAATTTCAATGAAAACCTCTTAGTTTGTCTCAATGAAGTTCAGAGAATCCACTCTTTTGTTGCTTCCTTTATTAGATGAGAGTTGAAATTATCATCAGGGCAAGACTGGAAACTTGGCTGATGATGTGTTTCTGAGACAACTCTTCTAGAAGATGCCCTAACCACTGTCACAGACTTCCTTGGGGCCATTTTGTGATGTCCATCAGGAATGGCCATGTTCCTTATAACACAAGCCCATAATCTTTAATTTCATAAGTTAGAGTAGACTCAGTGACAACTGGCCCTGCCATCTAATTATTTTCCCCCAAAAAGCCTTTCATATTGAATATTTTAAAATTAATTATCTTTTTTTATAGATATTTCTCAATAGCTTTTGTCAAATAACAACTGGATACTGTGAAACAACATTCATCTCTCTCTCTCTCTTTTTTCTTCTTCCAATGAAACATTCCTCTCTTTTGACGTAACATTTTGCAACCCATTTTTTATGGAAATTTTATCAGGAAGTTATGTAACTTAAAGTTACATGGGTGCTGCTGCCCCTTATTATTTTCTAGCTGAAGTGAGAATTTGGTAACATGTACTTAAAACATTTATTTAAGTTAAAATTATTATGTCCATATTCTATAGTGTATGACTTTAATTATCCATTTTTTGGTATATAATGTGGGATCTGCATTGAAGAGAATCAATATTCTCCTTGGTTCACCTCTATTTAGAAATTAAATACTTGTCTTTTGTAGACAGTGGTTGTGCTTCTGACTTGCAACAGGGAAGAGCTCCTTTATAGAGACTTCTTGTTAAGTTTAACTTCAAACTTACTGCTGCTCAATAATTAGAACACACATAAACGAGAGAGACAATATTTGTGAAGCATTGCTGAGAAGGTATGCAACCCATTCTATTTGATACACTAAAATCTTTCCTTGGTTTAAGCTAAAGATATAAAGTTCCCGAAACATTACACTATCACTCTATGTTGAAGGACATTGAGAAAAGCAGACATGTAGAATTTACTGCTGTATTTACTATAGATACTGTTGCTGAGAACAGTATTCACTTCATTACTACTTGTCCTCTTTACAAGACGAGGGAGAACTTTCTCTTAATTCTTAGGATAAGGCATGTGCCAGGGATTGATGGTTTGAATATGGTTTGTCCACATCAAATCTCATGTTGAAACTGGATTCCCAATGTGGCAGTGTTGGGAGGTGGGACCTAATGAAAGGTGGTGGTTGGATCATGAAAGCACCACCCTCATGAATAGATTAATGCCATGTCATGGGGATAAGTGAGTTCTCACTCTCACAGAAATAAGTTAGTTCCTGCAAGAGTGGGTTGTTAAAGATGAGGCTGCCTCTTGTGTTAAGTTTCTTTGCACATGCCTCATACCTTTCTGCTTCTTCGCCGTGTTGTGATACAGGACATAGCCCTTCCCAGAAGCTAAGCAGATGCCGGTGTGATGCTCTTGGACTTCCCAGACACCAGAATTGTGAGCCAAATAAACCTATTTTCTTTATAAATTATACAGCCTTGGGTATTCTATTACAGCAACACAAAATAGACTAAGACAGTACCATAACTGGCTTTCTCTATTATTATCTTGTGGACTCTATGAATCATTTAAGTGTTACATTTTCGTCTTTGCTTGGGCTGCAGAAAGCTCAACACCAAATTTGCAGCCTACCTTTCCTGAGTGTGCAGAGTGTGTGGTAACCTCATATCTGCCTCTATCCCAGTGGAGAGGGGTCCCCAGTGGTCTGGGTGCTCTGCCTCTCTCCAAGCTTCTGCACCTTCATCAGCAGAAATACAGACCCCTCATGTGTCACATTCTTTAGTAAGAGAACAGTTCTTCTTTTCAATATTCAAAGCTTGGCTGCCATTATCTCCTTGAGATCATCATGATGTGTGCCTTTTATTATCCTTACTCATCAGTTACCACTGGATATGGAGACTTCCTAAGTCGGTTCTCATTGCCTGATTTTCATCCCCTAAGGGTCTCCCATTCCCTTCTCTAACCCCATCTCCTATCTCTCAGCACTTTCTACATTTTTCTACTGTGATTTCCAGAGCTCTAGGTCAGTTATTAGAAAGACCTCCCATATTTCCACCACTTCTAATTCTCTTCACCTTCTTCCTCTACCTGAAATTTGACTCTCTGCTGAAGTCAATATTTTTCCAGCAGTTTTCTCAAGTGGGTGTTGTTTTCTTTCTCACAACCCTCCTACCACTGGGCCTAGAGGTGGGGTGCTGTCCTTCTTGCTCCACATTACTGTTCTAAACCATTCCTATCTGTCCTCTCTGCTCCCTCACCCCAGCTATGTATTTTATACCATCAGCATATTCCACACCCATCTCTCCTAGTTTCAGTCTTCCAGAGACTCCTTCCCCTAGGTCATTCTCTTTCCTTTTCTGAAGATTTTAACTCCTGGTTCACTGACCCTCTCCTCACCATAGTCCTTTTATAATTATAGGTGAATTCAAGTAGATATCCTAATGCATCTTAGTTCCTCAAGTTTATCGTCTTTTACCCAACCTCATACTCTCAATCCTTTGCTCATATCCTAAAACTTGACATTACCACAAAGGATTGGAAAGGAAATAAGCACAACTGAGTGGCTTAAAACAAGACTCATTGATTAGCTCAAGGTTGTGTAGGTTAGACATCTGGGCACGCTGGTGGGATTCTCTGCTCAGTGTCTCACCAGTCTGCATTCTCAAATGGCCCTCACATGGTTGTGGCAGACTTCTGTTACTTGAGGTTGTGAACTGAGGTCCCCATTGCCTTGCTGGCTGTCAGTCTGGGCCATTCTCAGCTCCTATAAGCCACTCACATTCCTTGACACCTGGCCCCCTAAATCTTCATAGGCAACAATGGAGACTCTCTTTTCTGTAGGGTGCTTCTCATGTTTTGAATGTCTTTTATCATGGAAAGACCTGTCCCTTGTAAGGACTCACCTGGTTAGGTCAGTTCTTATTGGTCAGTTCTACATGTGTGATTAGGTCAGACTATCTGAGGCTAACTTCCTTTACTTAAAGTCAGCTGTGCTATATAACATCACCCAATCACCTATGCAATATTCATATCTTCATAGGTTCCTCCCACACTCAAACAGAGAAGACTATCCAAGGGCTGAGTCATGAGAGAAGGGGGGGTCATTTTAGAATTCTGCCTACCACACCCTCAATGTTCTTAACTTGAAGAGTTCTATTCTTAAACTACCACCTACTATCTCTAGCTCACTTCCTCTGTCTCCATGACTTCATTGATACTTTGAACTCACCAGAACCTACGATACATCAATCTCCCACATTTTTATGTCCCTCATCCCCATCCTCTCTTTACTGCCCTCCTTTATCAGCATATGGTCAATCATGTAATCACTCATTGAAATATACCATTAGCTCTCTTTTCTTCTCTCCCTTTGTTTAATTTGCCTGACAAAATCCCAACATGGTTAAATCTGACTCTACTTTTTCCTCATCCCTGTATCCATGTAGATTAAAGTGGCTAGAGAAAAGCATACTTCTACACTGACTGATCATCCTTTAAACCTGTGAGTACTAATTCAAACAGGTTCTTCAAGCTGCCCAGCACTCATAAGACATTTCCCTACAATTAGATACCCAAACTTTTAGACATAGGACAAAGGTATTCAACCATTTTTTACTTACAGATTTCCTAAAATAATTTTTAAAAACTCTGTACCCACTTGCATATTTTACATTGATATTTAAATTTTCATCAGAAATTCAAATAGTTGAAAATCTTACTACAATGTATTATATTTTTAAAACTCTTTTACTCCAAAAAACTCTTTTACTCCAAAGAAATATCAGCAATATCATAGCAATTTGATATCCACTATTACCATTAGAAATGTATAAATAAATTGGGCTGGGCGCGGTGGCTCATGCCTGTAATCCAACCACTTTGGGAGGCCAAGACGGGTGGATCACGAGGTCAGGAAATCGAGACCATCCTGGCTAACACGGTGAAACCCTGTCTCTACAAAAAATACAAAATATTAGCCGGGCATGGTGGTGGACGCCTGAGGCTGAAGCAGGAGAATGGCGTGAACCCCGGAGGCGGAGCTAGCAGTGAGCCGAGATCGCGTCCCTACACTCCAACCTGGGTGACAGAGCGAGACTCCATCTCAAAAAAAAAAAAAAAAAAGAAGAAGAAAAGAAATGTATAAATAAGTTTGTATCAGTTAGAAATTTTATATCATTCTTTTTTCCTCATTGAATTTATATTTCCACTCCACATATAACACAGAATTGTATAATATATTTTATAATTTAAGATGTTTTGTTGTTCACATTACTGCAATCAATCACATATGTGATTACATGTCCTGAGTGGAAGGATTTAAATGTTTGATTTTATTTCTGACTTAAGGTATCATTACAATCATGATTATTATCTAATTAATCAAAATTATGCAAATATCTGTTTTAGTAAATAATCACTAAATATAAAATAATAAAATTTGAAAGGTACATCTTACAGTAAACATAGAGCTGATGTGTACTTCCCAACATTTTATTTTGGAAAATTTTAAATTCACAAAGTTGCAAGGATGACACAATGAACACCCATATATTCTTCACCTAAATTCAACAATTGTTAACATTTTCTTGTGTTTGCATCCTCTCTCTCTCTCTCTCTCTCTGTCTCTCTCTCTCTAGTTTTGTTTTTCCATGGAACCTTTTGAGACAGTTCAAATGGCGGTGAGGACATGCATCCATAATAATACAATGGAAGGCAGAGTGCATGGGCATGATACAGATGGTGGGCAAAATGTGGTAGGGGACATATGGAAGCTTCTATTTTTTTGTGTGTGTGAAAGAGGAATCAAGAGGAAGGAGGAGGAGTTGTTGGATGTTTATAAAAAGGCGAGAAAGTATGAGTCATATTGACCAGTGGACTTGTGTCTCGGGTGGGGAACCCCCACCTGGAAGTGTAAAAAGACCCTTTTTTTTAACGGGGTACAAGACCATGTAGAGTTTTAAGCAATCCATTTCCATGTGTATTTCCTCCTTAGAATTCTGCCTGCCACTCCCTCCATCTTCCCAACTTCAAGAATCCCATTCTTAAATCACCACCTATTTGCAACTTGTTTCCTCTATTTCCATGACTTCAACAATGCTTCGGACTCATGTTCTCCTTGATGCACTTTCTTTATGAGCCTTCTAGGACACCATGTTCATCTAGTTTTCCTTCTACCTAATTGTTCACTGCTTCTGGGCTTCCACTGCTTCTTCATCCTCAGTCCTGACTGCTAAATGTTGAAGCACGTATGGCTGAAACCTTGAACTGCTTCTCTTCTCCCTCCATACCATTGTCTATATTATCTCATCCAGTCTCATAGCTTTAACAACCATGTATGTGCTCACAACTTCTCAATTTGTATCTCCAGCCTGACCTCTTCTATCAGTTCAAGATTGTGTATCTAACTACCTAAATAAAATCTTCACTTCTCTGAATAGTAAACATGCAAAACGTTTTAGTCAAAACCAAACTCCTGCTACTTTTGTCTCCAAACCTGCTATACCTGAGATCTTCCCCACCCCATTTATAGCAATTCAATTCTTTCCAGTGCTCAGGTCAAAAATTTCAGAGTCACTCTTTATTTCTCTCTCTCCTTCAACTCCCATTGCCAATTCATCAGCGAATCCTGTTGGCTCTACCTCATAAACATATTCAGAATCCAACCACTTCTCATCATCTCCACTGTTACCCCCTGGACATTGCCACTGCCATGCCACACCTGGAATTACTACATCAGCTGCCCTACATTCACTCTTGCCTCTTCTCAACACAGCCATAATTCTGCTGGCTGCTCAGAATCTGCCAATGGCCAGAGTCCTTACCATCGCCTACAAGTCCCTTCCTGACTGTCCCCATTACCTCTCTAGGTGCACCTCCTGCCATCTCACCTACTCCCATCCCGTTCCAGCCATTTCAGCTTCTTTGCTGGATGCCCAAAGTGCCAGGCATTCTCTCACCTCATGCTTTTGCACCTGCTGTTGTTGCTTACAGGGCTTATGCACCTGAGAGGTTCCAAATCTTAATTTTCATTAGCTTTACAGTAAACCTACCTCTGACTATTGCTCTGGAGAGCCTGACAAGACCAAACTAGGCTCCAGCCCAGAAACGCACTGACACCGTGACACTACACAGGGCTCTTTTTGGCCACTGCAATGGTTTCTGACTTGCCCTGACTCTTGTGACCAGGGCTTGGCAGCCACCAACATCATACTGGTGGGTGGTCCTCCCAAGGTGGCCAGTGGCTTGGATGGCCCCATGTCTTATGAACCTGATCCAGTCTGTCCCATTTTTTTGTAGACTGGTGAGGTGAGTGAGCACAAATACTGTTTTGGGTTGGGGGACGGCAGTCAGCTATGATTTTTGGCTCTTTCCTCTGATATTGGCATGGATCACTCCTTCTGATCTCTGCTCAAATGCTGCCTTCTCAGTGAGGTTCCGCCAGCAACCCAATTTAAGTTAGCACCCCGCCCTGTTTTAGTAGTACTCCCTTTTCACATTCCCTGTTTCATTTTTCTTCATAGCACTTATCTGTTTTACTGTGGTTTACCTATTTGTTTATTATCTCTATCCAGAAAAACAGTGATTTTTGTCACTGCTAGATCCCTATACTATCTTTTCTTTAACATACTTTCCTGTATGCCTCTCCCTCAAGTTTGAGAATATCCACAGAGTTAGATTTCTTCTTGATATGTAATGTGACTCTGCTTCCCCGCCCAACAAAGCTATTTCTTTTGACTTGAGTTTGAGCATACCTTCTGCAACTGCATCTCAACTAGGAGCTCCCGACAACCAAGGTTATTTATTTATTTATTTATTTTTGAGGGTGGGGGGGGGCACAAGCTAAGTTGTATCAACCAATTCCCTTATTCATAGCTCGTAAATGAACATTAAAATCTGATGTCATCAGTATTGCTTCTGACTTCTTGGCTGTTTACTGTTTCAAGTGAATTATTGGGTACATCCCATCCTGTTTTCTCCTTTTTGAGACTGACGCCCTCCGTGTTAACAAGCCTAGGTTCTCTCTGTTTTCTACTCTTCCACATATACTTCATATTGTACTAGCCTGCCCTCCTGCCAAATTATTCTGTTGGCATTTTGAAATTCTTTACCTTAGAAACTGGGACAAAATTGGAGGCTGAAGCATGGCATCATTAGAAGTTTTTATGGTTAGGATAAATCACTTTTATATTTTTACAGATTTGACAACCCAGCTTTCAAAGACACAACTGTAAAACGACACATATTGGAAAATGTCTTGCTGGAGCCCATAACCTATGCTATCAGATACTTCACCCATTAATTATTTTCTCCAGCAAATAGAGGATTAGAAAGTGGCTGACAAAGGTGCTAAGAACTGATTCAAGACAGTTTGCATTTGCACACAGTTTAAAAGCACATTCGGAATGATTTCCACCTTGTAAATGTGTCAGTTATTATTCTATGGTGTGTAACAGCATGGCAAGAACGATATGGTTAATGCAATAATATAATCTTCCATCACTTTTATGAGATATTTGCATCCTTTTATGCAACACCTAATTGACAATTGCCCCACCAGTCCTCCCCAGTGGGACCACCTATTAAATGGAATTTATGGTCGTTGCCTTTTAAGTTAGTTAGATGACGTGAAGTGAAAATCTATTTTAAATGATGATCAATGAAATCTTTTCTCTGGCTGGAAAAATTACATTTCAAAAATACTTGTTTATTGTGTAGCTCCTGCTGAGTGATAGCGTCAATGTGTGTTGTGTTTGAGCGACCCTTTCCCATTGTATGGTTACCTGCTTCTGTTTGCAAGCACCAGTCCCTGCCCTTGCTGCAGCCGTTCTGATGCATATCAGGGCACAGCCAAAGAAATGCCTATTCTCAGGAAACACATACCTCTCTTTGCCCCAACACTCCAGATCTTCTGTGTCCTGCACATGCCATCTCCCTCATCTCTCAGCTCTCACTGGTTGTCTGTCTCCTTCTGCTAGAGTGTCAGCATCAAGAGGATAGTGATCCTGTTTTTTTCATAGATGCATGCTCTAGCACATGCTAGGTACTCAATAAATATTTGCTGAATGAATTAATGAATCAATATGCTGATCCTGGCCTTGCGATTTAAGTTAGCAGCGCCCCCCCGCCCCATTTTAGTAGTACTAAAGAACTCAATGTACCTTGCTGGCCTTGCTGTTTTTGTGATTTTGAAACGATTTCATTTTTATCCTCCCCCAACCTGTTAAACCCTAACTCTACAAAACCTTTGAGTTTTGTAGTGAAGCCCAGGAATAGATGCTTTATTTATTTATTGTTTAAATGGGTGGATGAGCTACTGCTGCAGCTAATAACTGGCGCTTCTTCCAGCTTGACTGGTGGGTAGTCCTCCCAAGGTGGCCAGTGGCTTGCGTGACCTCCATGTCTTATGAACCCGATCCAGTCTGTCCCATTTTTTTGTAGACTGGTGAGGTGAGTGAGCACAAATACTGTTTTGGGTTTGGGGTTTGGGGAGGGCAGTCAACTATGATTTTTGGTTTGGTCAAGGATCACTGTGGAGATCAATGTCCACATCTTCTTGAGTCACAGGATCAAAACAGATTGGATGGATGGTCAACTGGCTCTTTCCTAAGCTGTAAGAGCTGAACTGAGGAATTTACCTCATTATAGTAAATGTGAATTATAGGGAATGTGAATCTACCACGAGCTCACTGATGTCGTGACAGTCCTACGAGTTCTCAAACACAAGGACCATATCTACCTTGCTTGCTTGTGTAGCCCCAGTGCTTGGCATTCTTCCCTTCAACAACATTCACTGTGTTCTGTGAGCAGGAGTTGGTATTTGGCAAATGTTGTCGAATGAGTGAGGCCATTCATTCTTTTTTCTTGTTAACACTATTTTAAGGGCAGGTTCAGGTTTTGCGGAGCCTGAAGCCTACTTTGTGGGAGGGATCAGCTTTAAGAAAAATAATACAAAATTACAAATTAGGTATGAATATATTTATTTGGAATGAGTAAAGATATTGTAACAAATTACTGGAAGCTTAGAAGTTCATATCTCTTCTTTTCAAGGTCTTTTTGGCCATTTTGCCAGAAATGCTTTCTTAGGAATGCTTCCCTCTTCTGAACTGTCTTTCCCTCCTCATTTAGAACTCTTTAAACGTGTTAATTATTCCTTGTACTACAGGGCTGATGCACCTGAGGAATTCCAAATCTTAATCTTCATTAGCTTCAGAGTAAACCTATCTCCGACTATTGGTCTTGAGAACCTGACAAGACCCTAAAAACTAAAGGGGTGGGAATAGGTGGAATGAAAGAGGATGAAGTTTTTGACCAAGGTAGGCCATTGACTTTCCGAGAAACTGTAGAAACAATTTGAAGCCCAAACCAGGCTCCAGCCCAGAAATGCACTGACACCGTGACACTACACAGGATTCTTTTTGGCCACTGCAATGGTTTCTGACTTGCCCTGACTCTTGTGACCAGGGCTTGGCAGCCACCAACATCATACCTTTGGGCTGCTATTCAATCAAGCCTCAGGCATACATAGATTTGAATAAATTTCCATGCTTTGTAATGTATTTGTCAGCAATCAATGGGGCCAATGTAAGGTCAGTTGTTCTTTCTCTCTTTCTCTTTCATCTTATTTTCTATCTTCTCAGAGAGGAGAACAATAGATGAGTCTATGTCCTTTGTTCCTCTTCTGAAACCCAAAAAGAAGCTTCTCAGAGTCATTTATAGGAACACGTGATAGTTCTGTTTGCTTTTCTCGCCTTATGTCTTCCCAATTCTTTCACAGATCTGTAAGACCACATTTGCATCAAACATTGGATGTTATAGGTCTCTTCCATAATATTTCTGAGATAAAAAGCTCTGTAGGTGCAGTCATGTAGATCAAGTGAATTCAGCAAACGTGTATGACACTGTACAAAGGATGTAACAGGGAGTTTGGATAGACATGGTACCCTGAGGGGAGCCTGTGCTCTGGAGAGGGCAGACAGAGAATGGCAAATGTATTTTAGAGCTGTAAGACCAAGCAGATGACAATGATGTATAACAAGGAAAGTTAAAACAAACTTGTGGGATGTAGGGTGTGTAGAGAGCTATAAGAATTCAAGAGGTATAAAGAGCACATTGAGTTCTAAATTCTACACGAAGAGGGTAACATATTCTATGGAACTTTAAAAAGAGGTAGAATTTCAGCATACATAGATGGGCTGGGAGAGTAGGAGAAAGAGCAACGTTCCAGGCAACAAGCACAGCATGAGCAAAAATAAGGGAATCAGAGGAGCATGGGGCATATCCAGGGAAAAGTGAGCATGTAGCTTAGCTGCAGTGTGGAAGAATATGTTGGGAAAGGGTTTTTTAAAATTAGAAGGAATAAATTAGGTAGAAATTATGGATGGCCTTAAGGTATTGGGCTTACCAGGTGATACGAAAAGGAGTGTGCTATGTTGAGAAAATTATAAAGCATGGAGTGAGGAGGTCTAAGTTGGATTCTGATGTTATGACTTGTGAACTGACTTGAGCAAATCGTTGAATACTTGGAGGCTGCCCAGTAGAATGGTAGGGTAATGTCTGAACTGGTGGTTACAGGATTATGGTGAGGCTCAAAATAGAGGAAATAATGTTTGGTCATTAATGCTTGCCAGAAACACATATTTAGTGTAGGGATATCGAGGGAATCAGGCATACAGGGTTATGTTCTCAAAGAGTTGGCATGTTGGTGCAGAGAACCAGACGAAACATGCACAGACCAGCCCAAAAGAAATAGTAAGACAACTTCAGATAGTAATAATTGCTACAAAGTGGGGAGAACTGACAACTGGGTAAAGAGTAATGAGATATGGGTAGGAGACCTTGATTTTTGGTGCTTTAGCTGCAACAGTCAAGGAAGGTTTCATGGAAGAGTAGACGACTGACGAAAACAAGTCAGAAATGTGATGGTCTGGGGCACTGGAGCTCCAGGCAGCGGTAACAGCAAGTCCATGTTTTAGGATCAGCAGGAAGGCCAGTGTGGAGGGAGGGCACGGAGAGGAGAATGGAGGAGATGAGCTTCTTCAGATGGTCAGAATGGATGTCTTAAGACCATGTGGTCTTGGGAAAGGAGCTTTTTTCCCCATTCCAAGAGCAATGAGAGACACTGGCTCGTTTAAAGGAGGGGAAAGGCACAATCCAATTTATTCTGTGAGAAGAGAATTATAATGGGACAAGAAGGGAAGGAGGAGATGGCCAGATTTGTAATAATTTAGGCAAGGAATGATGGTGGCTTAAGAAGGGTGGTTGTTGGGTGACTGAAATACATGGTGTGATGGTGAATTGCATGTGCAACTTGACTGGGCTAACAGATCCCAGACAGCTGGCACAACATTATTTCTGGGTGTGTCTGTGAGGATGTTTGTGGAAGAGATTAGTGTTTGAATTGGTAAAGTAAAGAAGTAAAGAAATTGGGCTCCCCAAAGTGGGCGGGCCTCATCCAGTCTGCTGAGGGCCTGAATGGAATGAAAAGAAGGAAGAATGAACGAAAGGTGAATTGTCTCCTCGTCTGAGCTGGGCCATCCATCTTCTCCTGCCTGCCCTGAGACACTGCACCCACCCCATCCTTTAGAGTTGAACTGGGACCTACACCATTGTCTTTCCTGGTCCTCAGGCCTTTGGATTTAGATTGAATTACTCCACTAGCTTTCCTGGTTCTCCAGCTTGCAAATGGCAGATGGTGAAACTTCATGGCCACCATAATCATGTGGGCCAATTCCTACAATAAATCTCTCTCTCTCTGTCTCTTCTTCTTCTCTCTTTCTCTCTCTCTACATGTAAATATATACATACCCACACACATATATATGTATATATGTATATGTGTGTGTATGTGTGTGTGTGTGTCTGTCCATCTGTTTCCTGTTGGTTCTATTCCTCTGGGGAACCCTAATTCAACATAGTTGGATTTGGGATATTTGGGGCATTACCATAAAATTGCTGATTAGATGTGACCTTAGATAAAACGCTAAATGAGAATGCATTATGATCTGAAAGTCCTGTCTACATACATATGAAGTATTAGCATTGCCTGGCTTGAAATACTGAAAGTTGAAGATTATGAGTTTGGGAGTGGCAAGAAGCAGCACCTCAGGGAGTGAATCAGGTAACACCACACAGCACAAAGAGAAGAGGCAGAACCCAGGAAGGAGAACATGAATCCGCCCAGTGCTTCTCACCTTGAACTGGCACATGAATCGTCTGAGGATCTTGTTAAAATGCTGATTCTGATTCTGTAGATCTAGGGTGAGATTCAAGATCCTGCATTTGTAGCAAGTTTCCAGGTGATGCCAAAGCTACTGGTCTGCAGGCCACACCTCCAGTAGCAAAGAGTTCAGGAGGATAATTCAGGCGTAAGTTAAGGAGGGCTTAAACTGGGTCGGGAGTGTGAGTAAAGAGAGACTTTTCTTTTGTAGTGGAGGTAGAGACTGAAGAACAGAAGAGAATCATTTAAAAAAATGATGTTTTAAATCAAGTTGAGCAAGGAATGATTGGGTAAATCATATAAATACTGAAATCAGGAGGAGGTTTGGGGAAGGCATTTTCTAGATGCAGTTATTTTTTCTTGTGCTACAGCTTGGGATCTGACTTGGGTACTGGGTTGGGAAACACCCCTAACCTATTCAGTTTTGTCTGGAGGGATGAAGGGTCAAAGTTTCCATTTTCAACTCCTCTCTGTTAGAACACAGAGACTGCATGTATTTAAACCGCCCCAAGTAGAAGGAGGATGGAGACCCTCGTTCCAAGCAATGTGATTAGAATTTGAACACGAAATCATCTTGCAAGTCAAGAAAGGCCAAGTTTTCTTGGACTGTGGAGTCTTAGTCCATGCCTGTTTGTTGCTGAGTGTCCTAGAAGGCCAATCCCCATTCCTCTCTCCAACACATGACATGCTGCTGGCTTTAGCTATTAATGCCATAAACCCTTAGAACTAGTACCAGTGCATCTGTATACTAATATTAACAAGAGGGCACATTATTGAGCATTTGTTATGTGCCTAGCACTCTTCTAAGCATTTTATGGATATTATTTCATTAAAAGCTCACAATACAAGGAGGAAGGTATTATTATTACCTCTCCCCATCCTAAACACCACCCACCCCCATTTTATTAATAAGAACATGAAGTTTTGCAAGGTTCAGTGGTTTGCCACACCCCCACAATAGGGTGGCAGAATTCTGAACAATCCATCAAGTAATTCCTTCAACAAGCAAGCCCTGGGAGTCTGGTTCCAGCAGCCTCACCTCAACCATTTGTAAAATGGTTTCCCTGGCTGCACATCTACAAAATTATTGTGCTGCTTACCTGGAGTGAGAACTTGGCCCAGCAATTGGGATATCTAGGCTCCAGTCCTAGCTCTGCCCCTAATGATCAGTGTGACCTTAAGTAAAGTACTCGAATTCTTTGGATCAAAATTTTCTCATCTAGGAAAACAGAAGATTGGATGAGAGAGTGCTCTCTCGATCCCTGATATCCATTAGAATCAATGGAGGGGACTTTCGCAAATACTGATGCTTCCTCTTCAGAAATTCCAGTTCACATAGTTTGGTGAAAGGCTGAGGCATTCGAGCTCTGAAATAGTTTCCAAGGGATTCCAGTGGACAGCTGAGGATGAGGGCCCAGATGATTGATCGCTCTTTAAGGAAGGTCCACACCTTCCACTGTCCTCCTAAGACTTCATCATACAAATCTCTGCACGATGTGTGTGTCTAACTCTTGTGACCACCAGAGCGAATTTCATGAAGGCTTTTATTCTGGCCACAAAGCTGAGTGGCTCTGTGGTCTGCAGCATTGGACATTAGGGAGGTCTGATCTGGTAAGAAAAATTTCAGATTTTACAGGTGAAAAATATGAATATGGGAAAGAGGATTCATTTTTTTTTTTCTTGGTAAAAGAAGCTCCGTCTCAGGCTGATAGCTGTGTGCAGCAAACCACCATGGCACATGTATACCTATGTAACAAACCTGCACATTCTGCACATGTATCCCAGAACTAAAAGTAAAATAAAATAAAATGAAAAGGAAACTCCATCTCTAGAATGGCTCCTCTGAGGAGACTGAAGCAGCCCTGGTACTTTGTGTGCTGAGAAATAACCTAGAGTTGAGAAATGTACTAGACTCCAGAAGCACCCGCCTCGATTTGGCCAGGAAAGTGCAGTCACTGGATGTCTGAGATATTACGCAGTGACATGAATGTGAGGCACGAGTGCTACATGGAAATTATTTCTTCCTTAGGGTTGGGTGTTGAATATTCTCCTGGGCCTCTGGGAACTTGTGCTCCTATGGGGTGCGTGTGGCAGCACCTGGAGCCCCACAAAACCCCACTGGATGGAGGTAGCATCACGACCAGTAACCCTCGCCTGAGGGTGTTTTAGCAGCATGATCCCTCCTCACAAACTGCTTCAGTACCTTTTATTTTAAGATGATTTAGTTGTAAGGATTGGGTGCATGTCTCTCTAGGTTGTCCCGACGGAGTTAAGCCTGGGTGGATGCCATTTGGATCCCCACCTTTTCTCACTTCTGGTTCTGAACTGCTGAACCCAAAGATGTTTGCCTTTCCGTGGCAGGATGACATCAGCGAGGAGGCAGTTCCTCGGCCGAGGGAGCCAAGTCCTCAGACACCATCTCGGAAGTAGGACAAGTACATTTTGTTTCTGCGATTCAACCCAGAGAACTGCTTGGTCCCTGAAGCCTGTGCCAAATGTGTTTGCGCAACCTCGGCAGCGGCTTCCAAAACATAGTTCAAGAATTTGCCAAGGGTGTCATTTCTTTTGGAAGTGAAGATACATGGATGGCATGACTCGTGCTGGCCAGACACGAGTGAATTGGAGGCTCAAACCTCAGAAAGGGTTAGGGTCCAAAGTGACAATCTCCCTGGCTAGGCTAGACGAGACATGAGACATTGCTCCAATACTCACCCCAGTGGGGACACACAGCCGTGGAGAACATTGAGATCAAGTTGGCCGGGGCATGGTGCCATCTTGTTTTGGCTAGGGGCGTGCTAATGCAGTGGAAAGGAGCAAGAAAAGCTACCAATTTGGCTGCGACTCCTGAACATTTGCTCAGCATTCTTGAATCCTCCTGGTCAAAGAGAATTTCCTTGCAAGTCCTTATGCTCCCAGGCAATGGTACAAGAAAACACACACACACACACACACGCACACACACACAGAGTTTAAACCCTTTAGGAGATAAAACTCATCTATTGTATGTGTATCCACATACATGTGCTACAATTGGGAGAAATACAGGACTGTAAAAAGTGTGTGCACATATAAATGACCAACATTTTAAAGGCTAAAATGGTATCTTTCAAAGGCCAATCTTATAATAAACTCTTAAACCTTGTAGTATA